CACTTTGCACAAGGAGAAGCTGTATGTGAGAGCGATGCGACAGAAGTCGTTTCTGCAAGAACGCCACAAACAGCCGCTTGAGGTCTGCAAAAGCACATTTGGACGAGCCAGCTTCATTTTGGAATAAGGTGCAGAGAACTGATGAAACAAAGATTGGGTTGTTTGGTCATAAAAAAGGCCTTATGCATGGCGGCAAAAAACAGCATTCCAAGAAAAACACTTGCTACCCACTGTAACATTTGGTGGAGGTTCCATGATGCTTTGGGCTGCGTGGCCAGTACCGGCTGTGGGAATCTTGTTAAAGTTGAGGGTCGCATGGTTTCCACTCGGTATCATCAGATTCTTGAAATTAATGTTCAAGAATGAGTTACAAAGTTGAGGTTATGCTGGGGATGGATATTTCAGCAAGACAATGATCCAAAACGCCGCTCCAAATCTACTCAGGGATTCGTGCAGAGGAACAATTACAATGTTCTGGATGGCCGTCCAGGAACTCATTACAAGCTACAGGAAGCGGCTAGACGCTGTGTTTGCAAAAGGACGATCTACTAAATATTAATGTCACTTTTCTGTTGAGGTGCCCATACTTTTGCACCTGTCAAATTTTGTGTTAATGCGTACTGCACATTTTTTTTCAGTCCAATAAACCTCATTTCAATACTGAAATATTACTGTGTCCATAAGTTATTGGTTGTATCAAACTGAAATAGCTGCTGCAAACATCCAAATATTTAGAGATAAAAATAAATAAGATTAATAGGGGTGCCCAAACTTTTTCATATGACTGTATATATACATATAAACGTATCTAATATATATTATTCAGTATTAATCAGTTTTTATCCGTGTCAGTATTAATCATTATTTGTGTTTGTATATTTATATAAATATGTATTGATATTACTAAATAATTTATTAAATAAATGATGAACGGCTGTGTGCTTTGTAATATGCTCTTCATACATCGATATCAGAATATTCCATTCCTATTCTACTGTTTTCCCTAGAGTGTATTTAAACACACTGAACTATGTATCAATACAGTTAAAACATACTTAAAAATACAATTGTTTATAAATGTAGCTTTGATAGATGTTTGAATATGGTTTCCAGTAACAAAAAAGTGTGTTATGATCGATTAAATCCGCTGATACGTCATTGTGCTGCTAAACACATAAGACTGAGTGGAGTGGAGTACCGCTCCAAGATGGCCGCCCTAAATCAGCGACAATAGGCGAGAGCGGTCCATGAGGGTCTATTCTTATGTCTATGGTTCTTTCAGCGGGTTCCCTTGAACTGGACCTCCGGTCCACGCTCCGCCCCGAACAGAACCTCCAGCTTCAAGATGAGTCCGACTCCTCCCAGAACCGTCTTCCCCGACCCGACTGGACTACAAGACTCCCCACCCAAGGCTCCACGCAGGTACCTCACTAGAACCAGAACCCACTTGGTCCAGATAGTTGAGTCAGAACCGACCTGAGGATCTCAGGTTCTCCTGATGTTCAGAATATTCAACAGGTTCTGGTTCGGTTCTGGTCCAATCGGACCCGTTTGTGTTTCAGGCTGAGCTTCAGTGGGATCTTCAGGTCCTCCAGGGAGTGGAACCAGCAACCCGTGGCGGCCCACAAGCTGATTGGACGGAACCACAGAGACAAGGCCAGAGGTGAGACTGCTGCCCCCTGCTGGCCAGAGGTGACATCACAGCCCATCCATGACCAGAACCAAAAGCTCCTGGTTCCAGAACCAGCAGTATTTGTCCTGCTGGTTCTGGTTCTTATCAGGCAGGAAGCTTTTTATTTGATAGTGAATCTCCTCTTGTCGCAACAGCTGTTCTGGTTCTGGTCCAGTCTGTGTGCCTCTGGGTTCTGGTCTGGCCTGTTGGTTCCCTCTGGAGAGCCATAGTACTGGGAGGAAGATCTCAGCAAGGACAACAACCAGCCTCTCTCCAGAGGGTCAGAACCGGGTTGGGTTCTGATGGATTCAGATAGGTTTAAAGGTCAGGGAGCTCCTCAAGGCAGAGGGACAACTGCTAGTTAGCTAGTTAACTAGTTAGCTAGTTGGCTAGTTTGCTCATCTGATTAACCTGGTTCTGATTCCGGTTCTGTTTCCAGCTGATGACATGAGGAGAATAGAGCAGTTATTCATTGCTGAATCGGGCCAAACCGGGCCGGATGGCCTGTGGAAACAGTGTTTCCAGGGCTCTCAGGACGAATGTCCAGTTTAACGCAGTCAGAACTTTCCTCTGTAACAGCAGCTAAGGATTATGGGTAATGAAGTTCTGGTATGAGCAGCAGGAAGAAGCAGCTGAGTGTTTTCAGGTTCCTGTGTGTGTGTGTGTGTGTGTGTGTGTGTGTGTGTGTGTGTGTGTGTGTGTGTGTGTGTATTGCTAAGCTCCAGCAGTGCTGATGGAGGCATTATGGGACCTTCTAACCTTTGCTTTCTGTGTCTCAGTAACCATGCCAACAGTTGCTTAATGGGTTGTTAGAAAGAGCAGAGCATCACTGCGCTAAAGGTAGAGCGGCTGGCTGCACGACCCGGACCAGAACCCGGACCAGCTGGACCAGAACAGATTTAATAATGTTTGGTAGACTCGGCTGAATCAGCAGAGGTCCATTCTGCCCTGAGGTCCAGGTTTGGTTCTGATTGTTCTGGCGGCTGGGCTCATTTCTCAAAGCCTCTAAG